CCAACATGTCACGAAGTGCGGTTTTGATCCAACATATGAACTCCTTGCCAGACAAAGACAGACAGTCATGTTGCGACATATGAAGCCGACACGCCCAGGCCAGCATCAGCCGCACCAGAGGACACGCCCAGGCAAGCATCAGAGGAGGCCTGTTTTCCGTTGGACGTCCGAAAAGTCACTTACCTAAAAGGACCGAGATCTGGCCCAAAACAGGCCCCTTTGGCAACGCGGTTTTGTCCAGCTCCAGCTCCGGGATAGCCGAAAAACCTGCCAATCCTGACCCACCCCCCCCCGACAACCCCCAAGCTCACTCTGTGAGGGAAACAAAAAGGCTAACGAACCCGGCACGCATGAAAGCGCAGCAAACCGGCAGTCAGGGGCCCAATCCAAAGAGTTACAAGCGACTTGCATCGTCCGGGTTACTGGAGGTTCTTTGCACCTGGCGCGCGCCAAGCCAGGAGCCTACCTCACCGTCCGCCCAAGTAGGAGGCTACCTCACCGGCCTCGGGTCTGGGACCTGGCGTCCCGAAGCCCCTAAACCGGAAACCGCCTTTAAGCCTGAACCCTAAACCCCCTTGAGCCTCATCCCAACCTCCCTGTATTAAGCCTGAACCTTAAACCCCCCTTAACCCTAACCTTGAACCCTAAAGCCTAAAAACCACCCTCCAAACCCTAAAACCATGGCCCTGAAGCCCCTAAACCTCCTAAAGCCTAATTTTGTAAGGGTTTAGGGGGGCTCAGACTCGGGTTTTAGGTGGGATTTGCCCAAGGTTGGGGTCTTTGGGCTGAGAACAGAAACCTGATGCTTTCCTTGGGCTGAGAACAGAAACTTTCTAAGGGGTTTAGGGGGTGGGATTTTCCTCAGGTTGGGGCGTTTTTTTGTAAGTTTCTTATTTCCCAAGCAAACCACCCCCGAACGCCCCCAAGCCTACAGAACCCTCTTAAACCCTGGTACCTAAGCACCGAAACCTACAACCCAAGCCCCCAACGAAAACCTCCCAAGCAAACCACCCCAAACCCCCCCAAAACCTACAGAACCCTCTTAAACCCTCTACTTAAGCACCGAAACCTACGAAACCTACTGAACCCTCTTAAACCCGTCTACTTCAGCCCCCAGACCCCAAACCCCAAGCCAGCCCAGAAACCCTGGGATCCCCGATTCCCTTCTAACTCAGTCAAAGCAACCCAGACCCCAAGCCAGCCCAGAAACCCTGGGATCCCCCATTCCCTTCTAACTCAGTCAAAGCAACCCAGACCCCAAGCCAGCCCAGAAACCCTGGGATCCCCCAATTCTCTTCTAACTCAGTCAAAGCCACCCCGACCCCAAGCCAGCCCAGAAACACTGGGACATCCAATTCCCTTCTAACTAAGGCAAAGCCCCGATCTAACGATCTACCGAACCTTGGTCCAGGGGGACACGGGTCAGGATCACACGCATTATTCGAGCCGAATCCGTTTGGTCGGGGGGGTCTATTATTCGGGCCTCCTTGTTATAGTTCCTTTTGGGAGTTACTAAAAAGATCCTAAATACAACATTGGTCAAACCAAAATTTTAAAAAGGAACTACAATCTACAATGCAGACTATAGGTAGCCCCTGAAACAAACCCCCGCAACACATTGAGCCCCAATGCGGCTGAGGCATCGGGCGTTTCTGAACACGGCAGGTGCACAGAGGGGTCCGCCACCTCGCTTGTGTCTTGATCCGGGGCTTGGGGCTGCGCAGGAGGGTGGGCAGTTGAACCTAAACCCTAAACCCGAAACCCTAAACCTTAAACCCTAAACCCAATACTATGACCATGGTTGCACTTTAAGGAGGTCGCCTCCCCCAAAACAAAGCTCCCGCCAAACGAAGTTGTGGTGGTGTTGTTGCAGTTCTTCTTGTTGTTGTTGTTGTTGTTGGTTGGACGATTGTCGCTGCTAGACCCAGAAACGTAGCAACGTGGGACCACTGTAAACGCTGGCTTTCCCTAGACTCAGAAAAAATGTAAGTAAGCAAACATCCCCTTCTTTGCTTTTGGCAAGTATATGTGACCAGCCCAAGCTGATAGCTTGAAACATGCAAACTCCGTATAGTCTGTGAGCAACACCGAACTAGGTAACAGCATTGGCCAGTGCCATCGGCGGAGGGCATCTGTAGACATGCTCAAACCGTATCCATACAAAAGCTGAACAAAAGAAACCAAAGATCTGCTTTGCAAACAATGCTAACATGAAATAGCCGTGTGCCATCCGCTCGTTTTCCGCCTGAAATGCAAGCAGCAACGAGTTGCTTGGCAAGTGTTGTCTCCCGCCGGATTTGGGACCGGGCCAGCTCCAGGATAACGCCTGCAATGCGCCGTGCCTGTAATCACCACTGGTGTAATGAAAGCTCAACCGGAGGCTGCCTCATAGAAGCTGTAAAAACGGTGCAATGCGCAGCTTGATCTACACAAATGTGTCGTTGGAGAGCCCAGGAACTGTTGGAATCTGAAAAATGGGGCCCTCCACAGGCTGTCTTGTGGTGATTCGACGGATGCAATTCGCGGCCGCTTCAGCTGGTAGCGCTTTAACAACGACGACGACGACAACAACGACAACCACTAATAATAATAATAATAATACTAATAATACACCATAACCACAACTGCAACCACAATCACAACCACAACCAACAACAACCACATGGCGACGGGTAACATCTGCCCATGCCTGGGCTTGAGCAGCTCGATCATCCATGCCAGGGACTCAAGCTCCTCGCCAGGGTATCAGAGGGCAGAGTCTCTCGCTCCTCCTCACATGGCCTGGGCTTTGAAGGAGACCGACCGAGCCGCGAGATGCACGGCTGCTGCAGCCCCCAGCGGCTCCCAGCTGTGGAAGCCTCACTTCCGACTTCCCTTACATCTACAACATCAACGATGAGTGGCTTGGCGACCGAGCGCCGTCTGTAAACTGCTGGTGGCCGACACTAATATTGCCATGACAATCCGCCAAACTGAACAGAAACCCGCGGCATTTGTCTCTGTCATCAACTACGCTTTGCCTTTCAAGCTTTCCAAACACGAGCTCCGCACAATGTTTGAAGCCTTCCTCGGAGCCGCATCGTTCAACAACAGAATCTGCAAGTTCAACCTTACAGGAGGCTCAGATTGACAGAACGCTCCTCAGCGTGCAAAAGCGGATGCATGCAACAGCCAATGGCCACCAGTATCACCTTTTCCGATGTTCTTTCCGCACTCCGCACGCAGAGACTGCACACACACACACACAGAGTGCAGGCGAAACTTCCCTGTAGCCGCAGAGACAAAACTGTTTGGCATCGAAACGATGCTTTTAAATGAGACGTCATCATAGGCCCGTTGAACCCACGCCCATTTTTCCAGGTTCTTCCAGCATGTAGCCGCACCTCAAAGGAAACTGCAGTCGAGCAATCGAGCTGCACATGAAACCAGCAGTCGTTGCCTTTCTTTTGCAGAAGATGTCCTGTGTCGCCCCGCCAGGTGGATCGAAGTTTGAGTCCACAGCCTGTGGCCTTTCTGCAAGTCAGGGTCGAAGAAGAACCTGAGACCCAATGCAGGTGGCAAGTGTTTGGAAGTTTGACTCAAACCGAGGGAACCGTCTGACTAGACATGTTTGAACCATTAAACCTTTCAAACCCATTAACCCGAAATTGAAGCAAAATGTTGAAACCCGCTTGTTTAAATGCAATCCTCTCATCACCATATTTAAACACAGTTCACCCGGTCAAACTTGTTTAAACCAGGTTAAACCATACACGAGGCTGAAGTTTAAACACATTCGGGATGTGCGGCACTCACGGACAAAAACTGTTTAGACATGGGTTTGAACACATTCGGGATGTGTGGCACTCAGGGAACTGTTTAAACATGTTTTGAAACATGGGCTTATACACATTCGGGATGTGTGGCGCGGAAGTATTCAAACATGTGTTTAGCCAGAGTCGGAATGTGTGGCAGTCCGGGAGCCCGCACACGTGTGTTCAAACATCTTTAAGAGCCTATGTAGGCATGTTTAAGCCATGGTGTAAACATGACAGTGCGACGACACTCCTGGAACAAATAAAAAACATCCACAAACTGGACAAACATGCTTCAACATGCTGGAGTTCAAAACGGTAAAACTTTAATGTGTTTTAAAAGATCCTGCAAACATATCATTTTCAGAATGTTGGTGTCGGGAATTCCTGCGTTTTAATCGTGGCCTATGCAGTGCCAAACTGCCGCGAACATGGCACGAAAGCCTTAGAAACCGCCACAACAAAAAAAGAAGAAGAATGCGTCCGAAAGGTCGTGAGAACAATTTTCGGAATGCTGGTGTGGGGAATTCGTGCGTTTCAATCGACGCCTATGCAGTGCCAGACTGCCGCGAAGATGGTGCGAAACTTTTCGGAAAACAACGGCCCAGTCCTGCTTACAGCACTTGCTATGCGGTTTTGCTTCTATCATATGTAGAGTGGTTGGGTGAAGCCTTGCCTTTATCCTATTTACAGCGCTTGCTGTGCGGTTTTGCTTGTATCTTACGTACGGCGGTTGCTCTGTGGCATTGCCCCTATTGTGTTTCAGCGCTTGCTGTGTGGCTTTGCTTCTATCTTATGTACAGCGGTTGCTGTGAGGCATTGCCCCTATCCTGTTTACCGCGATTGCTCTATGGTTTCGCTTCTTTGTTATGTGCAGCGGCTGCTGTGTGGCATTGCCCCCATGCTGCTTACAGCGCTTGCTATGTGACTTTGCCCCTATCCTGTTTACGGCGCTCGCTGTGTGGTTTTGCTTTTATCCTGTTTACAAGGCTTGCTTTGTGGTTTTGCGTCGATCTTATGTACAGTGGTTGCTGTGCGGCATTGCCCCCATCCTGTTTCCTGCGCTTGCTTTTTGGTTTTGTGTCTCTTTCGTACAGCGGTTGCTGTGTGGCATTGCCCCTATCTTTTCAGTGCTTGCTGTGTGGCATTTCTCCTATCCGGTTTACAGCGCTTGCTGTGCGGTAGTGCTTCTATCACATGTACAGCGGTTGCGGTGCGGCATTGCCCCTATCCTGTGTATCGTATGTGCAGCGGTTGCAGTGTGGCTTTGCCCCTTTCCTGTTTATACCGCTTGCTGCGTGTTCTTGCTTCTATCTTATCTAGAACGGTTGCTGTGTGGCATTGCCCCTATCCTGTTTACAGCGCTTGCAGTGTGGCTTTGCTTCTACCTTATGTACAGCGATTGCTGTGTGGCATTGCCCCCTGTCCTGTTTACAGTGCTTGCTTTGTGGTTTTGCTTCGATCTTATGTACAAACGTCGCTATGTGGCGTTGTCCTTATCCTGTTTACAGCGCTTGCTGTGTGGTTTTGGTTCTATCTTATGTACAGCGGTTGCTGTGTGGCATTGCCCGTATCCAGTTTACAGCGCTTGCTGTGTGGCTTTGCTTCTATCTTATGTGCAGCGGATGCTGTGTGGCATTGCCCCTTATCCTGTTCACAGCGCTAGAGGTGTGGCGTTGCGTCTATCACATGTACAGCGGTTGCTGTGTGGCATTGTAACTATCCTGTTTATAGCACTTGCTGTGTGGTTTTGCTTCTATCTTCTGTACAGCGGTTGCGGTGAGGCCTTGCCCCTATCCTGTGTACAGCGCTTGCTGTGTGGTTTTGCCTCTGTCTTATGTGCAGCGGTTGCAGTGTAGCTTTGCCCCTATCCTGTTTACAGCACTTGCTGCGTGGTTTTGCTTGTATCTTATAAACAGTGGTCGTTCTTCTGCAAAAGAACGCATGTCCTTGCCCAGGTCCTCGCCGGTGGTGTAGAACTTCATGACGCCTCGGCCAGTGTAGTGCTTGGCGTGGCAGATGGTCTCGTCGGAGGATGTCGGAGGCAGCCTGAGCGTCGACGTCCAGTCCGTTGCGAAAACACAACAAAGCTACAAATGATATGTGTCAGGACCCTCGTTCTGACCCTGTTCAGCCAGAGGCGGACAGGGAGCTTGTTCTTCCACATCTCGCAGGTCACGTAATCAGGACGGCCAAGCTCATTGCAGAAACGGTCACCGTTTGCCAGAACGACGCCACCACCAGGCCGATAGGTGGCCAGGGGAGGTCTGCATCAAAATAGGCTTCAAATCCACGGCAAGCCAGGATCATCGATCGGACCAGACTCCTTCACAGAGTTTCCCCTTTCCTGCCGTTTTTGTATTCACAGCCCACAACCGTCTTGGCGTTGGTGGGTAGTTTGTACACCTGCCTTGTTGACGATTCGCGACCTGTTGGGCTTCTCCGCGACATTCTCGAGCATCTCAGAGCGTAGGTGCTCCTTTCCGCCGTGGGTCCTGGCTGATCCATGTCGACCTTGTGTACAAGCCAGTCAAGGTCTGCTGCACTGGCACAGAGGACTTTCGCTTGCTCAGGCTTCTTGGCGCCATGCACAGAGTGTCAGCCTTGAAGATTTCAGCACTGTCCGGGTGTCGGATGTCGAATGGTGTGACACTGGATGCTCAGCAAAAGCTGGTCCTAAAGGATCTAGAGGCCTCCCCGGCGCTCACGGGCACAGATGATCGCGCAATCTCACAGCAGCTGCAGCGCTGAAGCGGATGGCCTCTTCCTCCCAGGCCTGTGCCGGAACGCGGTCCCATCATGGCCCTGGCGAAGTGATCCCGGGAGCCACCGCATCATTTGCCGCTGTCAAGAACGTGCAGTTCAGACAGGTCAGAGCAACCTCGACGAGCGCAGCAGCCTCATGGCTTCAAGCTCACACTTGTAGGATCCTTGGTCCTCATCCTTCAGGCCAGAGATGGCAGCAAAGTCAACTTCCGGCAGCACCAACAGTCTGCTCCGAGCTGCCGTCGGGAGAAGCAATCAAATGGGTCAGACACCAGAGGAGGCTCCTCTTCGCGACCGCCAGAAGGGAGGGGGCGAGTCGACTCGCAGGCAAACGTTGGTTGTGCAAGGCCACACAGACACACCGTGTCCGGACGACCAAATTTAGCACCATAGAACCAACCTGACCCACCGGAGGCACGAGCGCCAGGAAGGTCAGGATGGCAAGTACGGGACCACGTACGTTTGTGGCCAGCCGCCCTCACAGAGGAGGCCGGAGGAGCTGGCAAGTCGAGACCACGGACAAGGTGAGCCCTCGGCAGATGCAACGACCGCTGCGCCTGTGATGCAAAAGCCAATCACAGAGTTCAGGAAGGCTGTCATAGTCGACGGCAACAACTCATGCCAATCCTTCAGCTTGCAGTGCATTTGCAGTCATGGGTCTTGGCGCCAGCACCGTTAATGCCAGTGGTGGGCTTGGTGCTGTTTCCACTGAAGCGTCCGGCAATGGCAACAACGATATTGATGCCGAAAATGCCCGCCAGGCCAACGCCGGCGACGATCACCTGATTGGCCGGAAAGACGGCTGCTGTTTCAAATGCAGCAGCTCCAGAAATACTCCCTTTCAGTGGCTGCTTGTGTGACTTTGCACGAAAATGACTTGAGCACGGGAGGAATGTGGCAGAACAAGTACGTATTCAAAGTGTTCTGCCAACCACTTCCGCAGGCACAGTATGTGCCCCCGAGGGTTCTGCAATTTTGCTCGATAGGTGCACCAAGGCTCCGAACCCAGCTTGCTAGCCATGAATCGCTGAGGCAAGCTCCTCGAGCGGCGCGCTCCTTGCATCGTCTCTCTTAGAAGGCAGTCTTCAGAAAGATATAAGCCGAGCTCGCGGCGAGCAGCCAGGCTTTGGCCTCTACCAGACAGAATTCAAGAGCTGAATCAAGTGATGCCATGTCCTGGAGACAACAGCTAAGAAGCCTTCGAGGGCAATGCACGAAGATTTCGCAGCAGGGGTGCATTTTGCAGGAGGCAGTGGGCTTGCCTCACAAATCCGTTGCCCTTTACATTAGCAAACAGCCAAAGAGCACCAAAACAAGTAAGGAAACCGCTCGGCCAGCGGTGCATCGGCAGAGGCAGGATCTCACCACGGTGCTGCGGTTCGAAGACTTGCCGTGACTCACAGCTAGACTGCAGCGCAGCGCCTGCAGACTGAAGCCACAACAACGTCGTGTGCGTGGACACTTCCACGTCTGTCCCGTTGGGCCGAAAGGTCGGCCGAGAAGTCTCAAGTCCCAAGGATGGAGGCTCGACCTGCACTGAGCAGAGTGGCCAAGGTCCAGGAGTGCTTTGATCTGCCTGACAACGGTCCGGCGTCACCTCCTGCTTTGCCTGGGGTTTGGCCTCAGTTCTCACCACTTTCAACACACCAAGCCACCTCCCGAAAGCCCATCGATGATGCACTCTCCACATGTTGCCTGCCTCATGACGAACCCAAAGCTCCCAAAAACATCCTACCAGAGGCCGGCCCGGCCCAGTCCCAGGTCTACACATTGCCGGGCTGTGGCTCTGACCTCGGACAATGACTCCAGCCTGAGCCGTTCGACAGTCGTCTGATCTATGTGGACATCTGAACAGATCTCCGGCCTGCGCAAAGCGGCAGCTTCTGCAGAAAGCTCGGAACCTCACATCCGACGCAGTTCTGTGGGCCTTCCGGCCGCCGCCTTCTCCCGGTCTAGACTCTTGCGAAGAACGAAGTCAAAGGTTAGGTCCGATGGCCTCCTGGTGTTGACTTGTCGCGCCCTGGTCATTAAAGTTACTAAGTTTGAACTCATGCACCTATATGCGCCTCTCCTCAACGTCATTATTCTAACATCTGCTCTGCCGGCCTCGTAGCCGGAGAAGCCACTCTTGCGCAAGCGGGGAAAGCTGGAGCTCTTTCGTGCCGAACCTCGCAGCAGCGACTCACTCGAAACCATGCTCGGCTTCCGTCCTTTCCTCTGACGATCGCATTTTCTCCGCATCGGAAGCGTGTCTCGGCCCCGAGCGTCGCACTGATCGCTTTGGCAAGCGGAAAATGCTGCTGCTTATTGACAAGTTTTAGAACACGGGGGGGAAGTTGTTCGTTCTGGACTGCAAGCCCGTTGGCCAATTCAGGATTCTTCCGTCATAGATCCGCCGGCAATCAGTTGGCCAGGATGTCGTTGCTGGGCTTGTTCTTGAAGGCGTCGTACATCACGAAAGGAACTTCTTTGCCTTTTCGCAAGGCCTCAACATCAGCCTGCATGATGTCGTAGGGGACATCCCCTACCAAAGCAGTCTGGACCCGATGCGAGGAGTCCACCAAAGCAACATGAGGAAGACCGTCCACCTTGAATTTTCGCGCCCACCTGTCAGTGTCCTTGTCGTACGGGAAGGTTGACGGCATGTCTTGTCCTGATCAAAAACGCTGCTGACGTATCTTGAATAAGCTTGTGCCCAGGGGAAGGTGGGAACGAAAGCTCCTACAGCGGTGACGCCGGGCTTGAAGGATGCGTCGGTACGGACCGGTAAGCCAGGCCCAAGTCATAAGAAAGCCGGAGCCGTTTCTCCGAGTTTCCCTTCTTGTATGTGCAGAGTTTGGGAGACCTCTCCCCCCGCTAGATTAAACCCACCCTGAACAGCAAAGAAGAATATTACACAAAAGCCCACCTGTTGTTTGGTTCGTGACACTACTGCAAGCTGACAGCTCGTCGAGATGCAAAAGGCTGGCCCATCGAAAACGATGGAATGTAAACGTGCTTCAAGATCCAAGCAACATGAGCATATAACCATTAGCGGCAAGACTAGAACCTTGCTTCTGTCTGACAGACAGACAGACAGACAGACAGACAGGCAGACGGACGGACGGACGGACGGACAGTCAGACAGACATGCAGATAAACAAACTCCTGGGTTTCGACGGGGAATGCTCAACTCGATGCGACAACCCATCCTGCATGATGCAGCCGCCGAAATCTGAGCCCCAGCACAGGCGAGAACAAGCCTATTTCTGGGTAAACAGCCGGTGTCCACCAAGCCACAGCCGCTCAACAATGAGAGCGTGCATCACAGATTTGTCGCGCTAGTGACATGGAATCAATCTGAGTTTTCGATTCTGCACAGCGGCTTCGAGATCAATCCCAATACCGTGGTCACAAGACCTTGCGAGCATCACAAGCAGCCATTTCCTCATGCTCCCATGCCCCATGTGCAGCCCCCTCCGTCCTTACTGCACATGTAAAGCCTGGACTCAGATATCATCGGAGAGTCAAGGAGTCAAGGCACAAAAAACACCACACATGAAGCCTCAAGAAACAGCGGGGACAGCAGCAGCGTTGCTGCACACTGAAGAGACGTCAGAGTTGTGTCCGAAAACAAGGTCAGAAACTAGAATAACTAGAATACTATGCACTATCGTCGTGCTTTCCCACCGCCAGCCATGCCCGAGTTTCCCACAGAGGGGAATATTTCACCCCCTGGCCAAGTCTAGCGTCAAAAAACATCATCGCTCCCTAAGCTTCTAAACCCTCCCCCGGATTTAATGCATGACAAAACGAGAAAAATGCCCCCGGCCTGGACCTGCAAAGGACACGTCGAGCGTGACGAACTCCACCTCCTTGCTTGCCTCCTCCCGGATCTTTTGTAGCTTGGGAGCCATGGCCTTGCAGTCGCCACACCAGGCCGCTGAGAAGTCCACCACCACGGGGCGCCCCAACCTTCCAGCAGCATTGAGATGGAAGTGGCTCACACTGAAGATCATTTTTGACTGCCAGGCCTTAACGCGTCCTCCAGTTTTTTTGAGCCAGCGGCCAGTTCCTTGATGCTCTTGGGACTCTTGAGCTCGAGGCTCTCGGCCCAAGCAACACCCGGAGCCACAAGTGGTGCCGCAAGTGATGTCAACACAGTGCGGCGTGGACCCAGGAAGCCGAAGCCGCCCTCGGAAGCCGAGAGGGACAGGGCGAAGAGGATGCCAGCCAGGCCAAAGCTCAAAGCGCGAGACGCCCGCACCCGACTACCCAGGGACCCCAAAACATCCAGGGCACCCGGTCGTCGTGGCCGTGCCATGGTGAAGACAGAGGCTCGACTTTCGGCTCGAGCAAACAGCGCGGACACATCGCCCCTCCCCGATTGACACACTTAGAGGGAGACACGGCAGATTCTCTCTCGGCCGCTTCTTCTTTGCAGGGTTTAGGGTTCTAGTTGCAGGGGCCCAGCGGTCGTCGTTGGTCTGCTGTTCATCTCACAAGTATTATGGGCTGGAACTCGTGCCCACAAAATGTGGAGTATCCTGACCGGAAGCTCTTTGACCAGCCTGAGGGCCGAACACAACTGCTGATCGGGGCTTGTCTTTAACCAGCCTTGCGAAATCTCGCCAGTCGCTTGCCGAAACCGCTGGGCCGGAGGGGTCGAAGCCTTTCAAGCAGCTCGCTTGGACCTCGGATCAGGAAGGCCTCCCGGCTGCTCTTGGGTCCGAGCTCAGGCTGCAACTCTGGTCAACGACCCTCCAGACGCAGCGGTCGCCAAGAGAGGCTTCCACCTGTTCCTTCGAACCAGAGACGCACGCAGAAAAGCACAAAGCGCCCATGCTACTTCCCAAGGCAAGCCTCGGCAAGCCTGAACATCGCATCCTTTTCAGCGGGTGGCTCTGGGTCGCGTCACCCATGCGTCATCACAGCTCTCTTCTCGGCTGTGCTTCTCCTTCTCCTCTCCATGACCTGCAGGACCTGCAGGATGATCCGAAGTTCCAGAAGCCTTGGTCCACAGGTTGAGCGACAGACGTGCCAGCCGTGCCAGCCCTTGCGTGAAGCCGCAGGCCGTGAGGAAGCAGACTTCCACGCCCCTTGCACGCAGCCTTGACAGTGGTCGGCAGCAAAAGAAGAGAAGCACAGCCTAGCACAGCCGATGTCCGACAGGCCGAAGCACCTGCGCATGATGGTCTTTACCCGGCGTCCGATTTCGCGGTAGGTCCTCAGCACTCGAGTACCTCTCAGATGGTCAACGAAGGCACGAAATGGACGCCACAACTGGTGTGCCTTGGCGACGCCGCTCCAAAAGAACGATCCATCTCCAGAAAGTCTGGAAATCCACCAACACCTTTCTCAGTTTGCATAGGCGGTGGCAGCAGTCTGCACAGATCCATTGAACCTCAAGCCTCAGATGCAGTCTGCTGCTCTTCGCTGATGACTGACGAGAAAAGCCTTAGCCTGCAGGATCTTCTATTGTCGCTCTCTGATTCTGACTGATTCTGATTACGTGGGGATCTGGCCGGGGATGCCGATGTCGTGTCGGGATACAGCGAGAGCGCCGCCTTGCCCGCGCGAATGATGCAACTTTCGGTGGGACTCTGGTCGTGTCATTCGTGAAAGGCCTGCCAGCCAGAAAGGCCTGACACGCAAACGGCGCGAACAAACCTGGCACGTTTGGTTTCCCAGCATCGACAGAGCGGGCCATGCGGAGCCTAGCGCACTTGCGGAGCTTCTCAAGGAACAGCTCTCTCTCACACGTAGCCGTGCCCAAGCTGTGGCTCCTGTCGGCAGGAAGAGTCGCCTTGCCGGCCTGCTTCAGTTCGGAGCTCATTGCCTTGCTGCCGACCCGATCTCGAAGGCGGTGCCAGGGGCGTGCATGGCCTTCAACATAGAAGCAAAAGCTCGATGTACCTCTTGCCTACGATCACTGCTGGCACCTTGTCCTGCAATCGGAACCCAAGCAGGAATGAAGCATTTCAAGCTTGTGGATGGTTGCGACTAGGAATGTGCAGAGTGATGGGTGCGCTCAGTATCTCATGCACTCCAAAACATACAACCCAACCAAAAACCGGTGCTAATGGACAACTGACAGCAAGCGACGAGAACCACATTTGTTGTAGAGCAGAGGATAGCAGAGGGTAGAGGGGCTACCATGTCGCAACATGTGTGAGAGACCTCCACGTCACCATCAAGATGTAGCCGACATGCAGATGGAAGATATCGTGCGGACGCCGCGCATGTGCTGTGAACAATCTGTGGAATCTGCAAGCTGCTTGTCGGCGGCTTATCGGACGCAGCTTTTGATGGCACACGGCGAGGTCTTCTTTGACCTGGGACAGCTGACACGGTCACGATGACTCAGCCGGCCTTCCGGCGACCTTCCAGCTTCTCTCTCGGACTGAGCTGTCGGCACGTCGCACGATCAACGAAACCACCTTCGATGGCACACTGCTGCAAAATTCCGATTTCTGAAGCTGTTACTGTTGAGACTTTTCGAGGACTGTTTTTGTGCAGAGGTTGCCAAGCCGCCATGTTGTCGGCGAGGCATTCAGCATTTGTTAAACAAGAATTCGATCCTGGCAACGAGTTGTGCGAGCACGATCACTTATACGGGTCGCACAAATATGAGTGGTCGCCAACAGACCCCAACACGCACTTCTGTCCACCTCTCGGCCCTCCTCCGCTTTACATTGCATTCGCAGCCACTCATGCTTACAATGACGCTCCCCTCTCCAGTTTAGTGGGGCGGCGACCATAAAGCGTTGCCTCTTAGTATGCGTCAGTCGTTTTGCTGAACGACACGCGCTGCATCTAACCGGTTGACGTAAAATGCTTTCATGTCGTGGTTCTTTCCACGCATCCGGCGACATTCTACAGAAATTCTACAGGTTGTGCATGGTGGCAGATCAACATCTCCTCACAAAGAGATAAATGACCTAGTCTAGAACATACAGCATGTGTGTGACACTTGTTGAACATGCCAGAACATCGGGTCACAGTTCTGCAGCGAAGGCCATGTGCAAATGACCTAGACGGATCGACAAGGCCCAAGGTCCGCCTCGAACTCCAAACACAAACGACCCGGTCGGAAGTCAGACAACATTCGGTGAGTCATCCAAATCCCTGCCCCTGACATCCCCTGGTCATCATCCGCAACCGAGTGCGGGAGTCGTGGGCCGAGAACTTTGGAAGAAAAGCCAACCGAAAGTTGTAAGTGTGTGCAAGGTCAAAAAAGCAACAACCAGTTTTAAGGAGACTGTCCTGTGCGCCAGCAAGATCAAGATATCTCAAATACTATGAAATCAAAGAGCAGTCCGTCACGAAACTGTGGTCAGTCATTTCACACGCTTGAAACCCGAGTACACCTGCTCGCACTTACGGTCTGGCTTGCCTCGGGATGTGTCGCCGCGCGGAGTAGGGCTGCTTGCACGGCTTCCACTGGCGGGCCCTGCAGAAAGCAAAAGCTTTGAAAAATCCGAAGCCGTCGGATCCGAGGAATATTGGTCGGCTAACTTTTGTGCTGCGAACTGGCCTGGTCATCATCAGAAGCTACCTGCATTTTTTCATTTAGGGGTGCTGTCAGACGAGGGCCGGCGAACCGGACCTACGCCGGTCGGCTCGTGACAGCCAAGGGCTGAGGTTGACTCATTGACTGCCTCTAGTACAGTGAGCTGCCACGACCGACAATCACGACTCAAGACTTGGTGGGGGAGGAGACATGTGTATTCCGCTGATACCCGTCTCCCCTCCTCCACCCGTGCCCCCTCCAAAGGACGCCAGCTGAAGTGGATGGGGGGCAGTCGGGGCACCATGACAGGTTTAGCATCAGAGCCAAGCAGCAAAGCTCTACCCTGACACCGAGGCCTGGAGTGCCGACGCCAAGAATTCGAGGTTGTCGCTCGTCTCCAGCAGCTCCTTCATAGTTCGCATAGACAGCGAAGCTGGAGCAGATGCCCAGCCTGGCCTCGTCGGGGTTTAGCCACCAATTTTCAGGCCTCGCTGCACATCCGGTCAGTACCCTTTCAGCAAAGAGTAGGGGCTGCCTTGCTTCCACCAGCGGTGTTGCAAGGCATCGTGCCACGGCCTCATGGACCTCGCGCTTCATCAAGAAGGCAAATCAAGCACTTGAGCATTGCTCCAGGGAAGGTGCCCGCTGCTCTTCATCTCCGGCCGCATCGAGCCACTGATTCACAGACAAGGACCTTACTAAGATTTCTCTCCCTTCGTAGCACTTCTGTTGTTTCGCTGATCTCACACAGCTGAGCAGAAGGCCAGTTCGACATGCACTCGACCTGCCCGGTGCTGAAAGGTCATGCCGATCCGGCAGTGTTCGTACATGCAGAACAAAAGGCACCGAACTGTTGAGACAGGACACTGCATGGAACCAGTGCCGCGGAACAGCTAGCACATCCTGCATCGAAAGGTCTCGCAGCTTCCCGTGAGCCCGAAACCTAAGCCCAGGACGCCGGGCTTTAGAATAGCGCCCACGCCGGTGCACCTCTGCCGAATACAGGGCTTGGGAGCCAATCCAGAATCTGTGTTGTGTCGAAGCACCCCGGCGGCAGCTGAATCAAGGGGTCCACATCAGTAAATGTGGAGGAGTCCTGGCATCTCTAAAGCGCTGTGCCTCTTACAAGCCACAGACCTGCAAGGTTGCAGACCTCATATGGGAGGCGGTGCTGGCCGAGCCAGGTGCTGCTAGGCGGAAAAAGAAGCCTGAGAGAAGCTTGTTAGCAACTGGACACCTGGCAAAGTCGCAAGAAGTACCATCCCTCAACGATCTGCCACTGAGCCGCCGCACCAGAGCTTTTCTCCGGCTATTTGCGCGACCAGATTCTGTCCATATGCATCTTGGTGGCACCTGTTCATCGACGGGGTCTCTCAAATGGGAAAACTCACAACAGTCTTGCACAACGCCTGCTTGAGCGAGTTGCAGCTGCCAAGGCTCACCAACAAGTTTGCCCAGTACGGAAGCACGTGTCATCACACCCTCAGGGTGTGGAGAGGCACTAACTCTGCCAAGGGCCAGAACCCAGGTGCTAACTTGGCTCTGCCCGGCACTGCATTATCATTGGCTCAGATGGGTTTCCCATCTTGCAAGCCCTGCATGATGCTTCGACGGTATAACTTAGTGTTGCAGCAGCAGTATCATCATGGTGTGGTGTGACAGTGGTTCAAATCCTTGCATCAAGGCCAGCCGCGGATCACTGACGCGGGAAAGTCTTCCTCACAGGCGACGCCTCGGCTGTGAGAGCTGCAGAGTACGCGGGTACCCGCCTTCTGCAATCTCGTTCTGACACCAAGGCTCAGGTGATCTCGGGCTTGACCCGGGACTAAATCCAGATCGACCAGCCGACATCGGGCTCATGCCCTCAATGCACAACAGTTCAACAGCTGAAAATAATTTGTCAATCAGAATCTCTGGAATCCAAAAGGAGCTGCGACAAAGTGTCTCCAGATGGCGACTGGGCTGAGCGCGGAGATTGTGGTTCGTAAGGGTTCTCCTGCTTCCGAAGCTGAGGCAGCACAGAAATAGGTTGCCAAAGGAACAATGCTGCACAAATGCATATAACTGTATCTATGTTTATACCGATATTTATACCCACATATATATATATATATATACGGGTCACAGGTTTTCGAGGGCTCCCTAAGGGACTTAATCCCCTCGGGCTCGGCTATACAAAGGCCTCTGTGGAGCAACTCTCCTCACCGCTAACGAAGAATTGAGGCCCCCGCCGAAAGTGCATAGCACGGTTACAGCTGGCTAGTACACTACGCTTCGCGGAAAAGAGCCCCCCTTTCTGTGCTCAGCCACCTAGGTGTTGAGGGGTTCCGTTGAAGCAACAAGAAGAAAGTACGGCAGAGTACAGTGCTCTCTCTCTCTCTCTTTCTTTCTTTCCCAGGGTTTGAGGGGCGAGTAAGGCCCCCCGGCCAATAGGCCCCCCATATATTATGGGGCTTTCGGGGGATTGTTTGTTGCAAGTTTGTGGTCTCTCTCTCTCTCTCTCTGACTCTCTGTGAGTTTTCCGAGAGCAACAGCCTCATCATCGGGCGGATATCCAAAGTAGTCGGTGCCATAACACTCAATGAAGCACACTTCACAGAGACCTTAGAGAGTGCAAAACACTTAAGATTGTCGGTAGCGGAATAAGCTCCGCTGCAGCACAAGGTGTTTGCCGGCGGGACACATCCATGATGATGTCCTTT